CGGGCTCGCTCACAGGACTGCACATCCCCTCGTTCTCCAGGAACTTGGTTGGTGTCGGCTGCCTTCAGCATCTTGGCGTCACCACTACGTTCCCTGGACACGAGCGGTACGCAGTCTGTACCGAGGTCGCCACTGGTGCCCCCCACGTCTGGGGTTGCCTTGCTCACGTTCGTGCCTCTGGCACGGACAAGCTCACTGCCCGCACCCTGCCCTGTGTCTTCCTTGACTTCCCCCTTGACACGTCTGACTGGCTCTTCTACCACCCGCTGTCTCACCGGTTCTTTCACTCCCGCGACATCACCTTTGACGAGCCGTCTCCTTCTTCCAATGCTTTCCCCACCGAGGTCCCCCGGTTACCCCCCCCCTGTTCCTGTTCACCCCTTCCCCGGTCGTCGCCGCCCCTCCTCCTCCCCCTTCCCATCCTGGCCCCTCTGGTGTGTCCCACGTCACCCCACTTCCGTCGGTTGTCCCAGTTGAGGAGTCTGCTGACTCTGGTGGTCCTGCGGTGCAGTCCTCGCCGCCTGCCCCTTCTCAGGTGTCTCCTCCTCCGCCACCTCCGCAGCCACTGTCGCCATTGTTGTCGCAGCTGTCGTCCCCGTCGCCGCCGCCGCCGCTGCCGTCGTTGCAGCCGCCGCCGCTGCAGCCGTCCCCGCTGCAGTTGGTTGCCTGTGAGGGTGCTGGAGTTGGGGTGGGTACTAGTCCTGGGACTCCTGTCGTGGCTTGTCCCGGCGGGCCTGAGGGTGGTACCGGTGCTCGAGGGGTTCTGAGCTCTGGGGGTGTTTCTTCTTGGGGTGCTAGCATGGAGTGTTCTAGAGGTCGTCGCCCGGCAGCTTGCGGTCCCAGTGTTGGTGTCACACTGCCGCCGCAGCAGTCCCCGCCGGTGTCCGCTCTTCGCCTGCTTGGCCTTCGGTCCCCTGACCCCGTGCCTCTGCCTCCTCCTGTCTACGGCCCTGTGTTCCCTCCTCCGTACTCGTCTCTAGCTCGTCTCCCCCCTTGTTTCCCTCTTGTGTCCCCTCCTCTGTCTCCTGACCCAACTCCTCCGTCTCACGTCTGGTCTCGCCGTCCCTCCCGTGCTCGACCTGTCTCCCCTGTCTCGCGCTATCACCCTATATTGTTTCGTTCCCACGCGTCTCGTCCTCCCCTTCTCCCGTCGCCCCCTCCGTCCTCCCTTATCGTTGCTCCCCCCCCTCTTTCTGACTACCTGCGTGTCGCTCGTCCTCTTGTTCCTCAGGTCCTGACCTCTCTCGTTACCGACTCCGGTTTCGAGTCTTGACGCCCTTATAGCTGCGGCTGACTTCGCCTCCACCTGCCCCCTTGACTACGCCACCGCTCTAGTCTCTGACCCTGCCTGCCCTCCTTCTGTCGGGGGTGCTCCTTCCCTCGGCAGTGACTTCCTGAAGGACCGCCAGTACGAGCTTGCTTTCCTGTCCGAGGCTGCTCCCCATCTCTGTTCCATGCTTCTAGTCCCTGAGGGTGACCCCGACGCTTTCGATATCCCGACCCCTCGCACTTACGCTGAGGCGACCTCGGGACCCTGGGCCTCTCAGTGGATAGCTGCCATGGAGAAGGAGATGGCACCTTGGAGATCCACCGGCACCTACGTCGACGCAGTTCTCCCACATGGGGTGAACGTAGTCGATGGCCGCTGGCTCTTCAAGGTGAAGCGCCCTCCTGGAGAGCCGCCTGTCTTCAAGGCGCGCTACGTGGCTAGAGGTTTCAGTCAGCGTGAGGGGGTGGACTTCTTCCAGACCTTCGCTTCGACCCCGAAGATGACTACTCTTTGGGTGCTACTACACATAGCAGCTCAGCGTGACTACGAGCTTCACTCCCTTGACTTCTCCACTGCGTTTCTTCAGGGTAGTCTACACGAGCAAGTCTACCTGCGCTGCCCTGAGAGCTTCACTGGTACCTTCCCTCCTCGGACCCAGTGGTGTTAGGATTAAGGACAGAGTCTAGGTGAACTTAGGAGCTAGAATTACTCAAAATATAAATCCGAAATTCTGGACAGAAAAGTCGTCTTCACAAGAAACGACGTCGACAAACAACTAGCCGTTGGAATGTCGCGAAACTTGGATATGTTGTAGCTCTTAATCTCAGCTACCGTTCCCAATTTGAATCATGTTGATTGATAAAGTATTCGCGACGCTATGGCTTTCGACGCACTAGGGGGTAAGCTGTAGGAGGAGAACTTAACTCAATCTCAAAGGTTCAATCAAAGTTCAAGAATCTCACAAGGAATTAGAAGGAGCAAGAGAAAGGTTGGGATAGGAAGAGAGGGATGAGAGGGAAGGTCCCAAGAGAGTCCCCAACCAAGGAAAACCCCATAAGCACAAAGATTCCCTCCCTATAGGAACCCCAACTTTGACATTTGTCCCTTCCCAACCAATCCATCCAAGTTGGCCACCCTTGCCAACCTAGCTTGGTTGTTCCCAACCAATTTGCAGCTGTTACAGTAGAGTGACAAGTTTCCCCAACCCCAAAGGTCCCAACTCCATATAAAGTCACCCCACAACTTCACTTAGTAACCGCCGCAATTGTAACGCAAGCTCATGAACTTTGAATCTTCATAGCTTTCGCGTTCTTGCTCCGATTGAAGCGATTCTTGTTGCGTCGGAAAGATCTTCTCAAGATCTATTATCACAAATACCTGCTCAGACAGAATAACACAAAACACATTCCCAAACTCCAGAACACACCACACACAAATGCTTGCACATTCAAACCACACATGCAAGTTGAAAAAACATGGGATGGGAGGCAGACAGAATGTGATAGCATATGATGACATCACACAACAATCTCCCCCTCTGGCTGCCAACCATCATCGACCATACCACATCTCAAGCATGCATACTCAATGCACACTCATCCCAGCAAGCTTCATGCCCTTCCAATGATCCGCCTCCGCCAGACGCTTAGTGAAAATATCTGCTGCCTGCTGATGGGTCTTCACTATCTCCAGCCGCACCTCCTTATCAAGGAGTCTCCTCACCCAATGCCACTTAGGCCTTATGTGTTTTGTCAGCCCATGCAGACAAGCATTCTTGGCGAGCTTCACAGCGGACTCATTGTCACAAAACACAACTGTCGGCTTCTCCTGACCAACTCCCAACTCCTCCAACAAACGCCTCAGCCATACCACTTCCTTGGCCCCATGGTGTAAGGCCATGTACTCAGTCTCACATGAAGACAATCCCACCTCATTTTGCTTCTTGCTGCGCCAGCTCACAGCACCACCTCCTAGCAAGCACACATAACCCCCAATGCTGGTGCCATCCGCTTTCACTGAGTTGAAGCTAGCGTCAGTATAGCAACTCAAGAGCATCTCTCCACTCTTCACATCTGCAGCACCTCTCTGCAACCGCTGCCTCACTCCACTGTACTCCAATCCCACTGATGCCGTAGCACTCACATAGCGGACCAACCTCTTGGCCGCTTCCAGCTGCTCATGACTAGGGCGTGAGACCACACTAGCCAACCGTGATGTAGCAAATGCAATGTCAGGCCGTGTATGATTTGCAGGATAATTCAGCGACCCAACCATCGAATGAAACAGCTTCCTGTCACTATCACCCACTACCTCCTCATCAGCACATGGCTCCACAGTGAACCCCGAAGGTAGTGGTGTTGCTGGCTTTCCCCCATCTTGCAGCCCATACTTCTCAGCCAGCCCCTCACAGTACTTCCTCTGGTGCAACCTCAGCACACCCTTTTCCACATCTCTCTCCACGTGCATCCCCAAGTAGTACTTCGCCTCACCCATCTTGGAGCACTTGAACTGCATCTCCAGCATCTGCTCTGCGCTGTCCAGCAAAGCAGTTGATGCAGAAAAGAGAAGGATATCATCCACATACACCAAGAGCATGAGGATTTCGTCCTTCTCCTGCAGCAGGAACAGGCTGGGGTCACACTCACTCTTCTTGAAACCCCCAGCCAGCAGCGCCTCCTCCAACTTGTGATACCATGCACGAGGCGCCTGCTTAAGGCCATAGATGGCCTTCTTCAGCCTGCAGACCCTGCCGCTCCCATCATCCAGCCCCTCTGGCTGCTTCATGTACACCTCCTCCAGAATGATCCCATTCAGAAAGGCAGTCACAATGTCCATCTGCCGAATCTTCCATCCCAGGAGTGCAGCTATCGCCAACAGCACCCTCAATGTTGTTCCTTTCCCCACAGGAGCAAACACCTCATCATAGTCCTTCCCCTTTGTCTGCTGAAACCCCCGTGCCACAAGCCTAGACTTGTAGCGGGTCAGCTCCCCTTCAGGTCCATACTTGTGCCTGTAGATCATCTTGGAAGTGATTGCCTTCTTTCCAGGAGGCAAGTCACACAGGTCCCATGTCTCGTTCTCAATTAGGGACCCGAACTCCTCATCCTCACTCGCCTTCCACTTCTCCCCATTTGGTCCATTCAAGGCCTCTTCTCGAGTCTTGGGCTCAGGGATTGGTGCCCAGTAGCAGTGAGCGATCTCATCTTCCTCAATCTGCTCAACCACACTCCCAGCCTGCACCACATTCGGCTTGCCTCTTCCCCCATAGGTCAGCCTCACTGGAGGGCGCACATCCCTCCTAGGACGCTCAGGCGGGTGTGGAACTCGAGGTGGAGACTCATGCTGCTGCTGCTGCTGCTGCTCTACTTCAGCTGCTCCCCCTTCCTCAGTCACCCCAGACATCTCCTCCTCTGACACTGCAACCTCCACCTGTCTTGAAGGCTGCTGCACCTCATCTGCCTCCACAATGAGCGGTGTAGATGGAAGCTTCTGTTGCTGCTGCTTCCATTCCTTGTAGTACAGGGACTCAAGAAACTTCACATCCCTTGACACTGTCAACTTCTGGGTGGTCAAGTCCCATAGCAGCCACCCCTTGTGATCCTTTGCAATCCCCAAGTGCACACCCCATCTTCCAGAAGCCTCCAACTTCCCCCTTTTCTCCTTAGGCACATGAAACACCACCATGCACCCAAATGCCCTCAGCATGTTCACAGCTGGAGCACTCCCATACCACTTGACGTATGGGATCCACTCCTTATCTCCAACTGTAGCCAGCACCCTGTTCTTCACAAGGGCGACCTGCCTCAGTGCAGACACCCAAAACGGATCAGGCAGCCCTGCACGCCCAAGGAGAGTGCGTGCCCCCTCCTGCAGGGTCCTGTTGAACCTCTCAGCCACGCCATTCTGCTGTGGGTTGTAGGGCACTGTCAGTTGATGCTGGATCCCCTTCCTCTTCAACTCCCCCTCAAAATCAGCTCCAATGAACTCCCCACCATTGTCACTACGGATCACCTTCACCTTGTGTCCGCATTCCCTCTGAGCTCTCGGCATCCACTCCTTAAGGACAGCCGCTGCCACCTCCCCCTTGCTCTTCAAAGGGTAAACCCACACTGCCCAAGTGTGGTCATCCACAATTGTCAAGAAATAGCGGCTGCCTGAGAGGGAAGGGGCTCTTGTGGGCCCCACCACATCCATGTGCACAAGTGCAAGTGGGGTCTTGGATGGTCCAGTTGCACTGTTGAAGGGGAACTTGGAGAACTTGGTCTCCAAGCATGTAGGGCAGCTCCCAATCTCCTTCACTTCCCCTTTCACCTCCAAGCCCTTCAGGCTCCCATTCTTCACCAACTTCTGCAGCATAGGGAAGTTCACATGACACAACCTCTCATGCCATGTCTCCCAATCGGCCTCTCCACTCCTTGATGAAGCCTTAGCCCATGCCGCACTCGCATCCACACCAGCAAGCACCTCACCATGTGTCTGCTGCTTCTGCACTTTCTTGACTGCTTCCAGCACCCCATCAGTTGGTGCAGTTGCATCTCCTCCTGCTGTTGCCTTTGCCACTGCTGCCGTTGCTGCTGTTGGAGTCTTCCCATTCCAAGGGATGATGGGCAGCTGCCACAGGTCCTTGATGCAGCTGGTCTCCTCTTCCAGACTCCACAGCACCTTCTTCCCAAGCTTAGCACGGCAGCTGGTTGGTCCAAAGGTCACTTCGGCCTTACTCTTCTGCAGCCGCCGCACAGAGAGAAGGTTAGCAGACAAGCCTTTAACCAGCAGAACATTCCCAAGCCCCACAAGCTCCCCATTAGCTCCCTTAACCTTGGCATTCCCAACACCAATCACGGGGAGCAAAGCACCTGACGCTGCTGCCACATACTTAATCTTCCCAGGGGGTTTTACCTCATCAAGCAAATCTGCCCGTGGGGTCATGTGACTGGTGCAACCCGAATCAATCACCCAGTGCGTGAGAGGGTGCATCACAACCTTTCCCACAAATCCCACATCACCCTCATGCCCATGCACATCCTCAACCATAAGAAACAAACCAGGATAGGCATTACCTTGTGCACCTTCACCTTGTGCACCTGAGCCTTGCACAGCGCCACCTTGTGCGCGTTCACCACTGGGTGGCTTCATGCCTGGAGGTGCCCATCCCTCCGGCCTGCTGAAGCACTTGAACCAAGGATGCCCTATCTTCTTGCAGTACCAGCAGGTGCCCTCCATTCTGGTACTCCCCCTGCCACTAGAGCTCCCATGCCCCTCATTATAGTCACCTCGGCCTCTACCTCTGCCAAAGCTCCTCCCACGGCCTCGGCCTCTCCAACCCCCTCTTCCTCTGCCGCGCCCTGCAGCTCCATACCCCTCAGCAGTCTTAGTGGCAGCACCGCCTCCCACATGGCGTCTGCGGAAGTCCTCCTGCAGAATCTGCTGCCTTAGCCACTCAGGTGTCCATTGATCTTGTTGAGAGTTGAGGGTGGGGATGAGGTTGTCCCAAGAGTTGTCCAACACCGAGATGATCTTGGTGCACTGCTGCAGCTGAGATACACTGCTGCCCGCTGCTGCCATCCTTGCATAGGTGTCCTTGATCTTGTCAAGGACCGGCTTCACATCGTCCCCTGGTCGCATGGAGATGGCAGCAAGTTCCTTCTCGAGCACGATCACCATCAGGAGAGTGTTGGGCTGAATCACATCGCGTAGTAGTTTCCACGCCCTTGGACCCGAATCATCCGCTTCCACAAGATCCTTGATGTGCTCGAACATCTCCTTGTTGACCGATTGAAGGATGAGGTCGAAAAGCACCGTGCTTTTCTCAATCCACCGTTCACGTGCTTCGCCTTCTTCCGGCATCTTCTCTTCCCCAACAGCAATCTTCAGTAGCTTGTAGCGTTTGAAGGCACTCCTCATCCGTCCGCTCCATTCCTCATAGTTGGAGCCATCCAAAGCTTCAACTTTTGATGGCGGCGGCTCACTTGTCTTCTCAGGTACAGCTCCTCTTCCATTAGCATCTCCTCCTCTCTCATTCATCTTCTCCTTGAGAAATGACGAATTTCAGCTCCCCTTTGCTGTCCACACTCAGCTCCCTCGATATTTTCACAAGTGTCGGCGTCCACGAAATTTCGGCAGAGTTTCCCCTTAGCGGAAGACACATCCAACCTTTAGAACACCACTTAGGCACACCCACAGGCCATGGTGGGTCTAGAAGGGTCTTCAAACTTCTGTAGACTCCTCTCAATGTCCTTAATATTGCTCTGATACCACTTGTTAGGATTAAGGACAGAGTCTAGGTGAACTTAGGAGCTAGAATTACTCAAAATATAAATCCGAAATTCTGGACAGAAAAGTCGTCTTCACAAGAAACGACGTCGACAAACAACTAGCCGTTGGAATGTCGCGAAACTTGGATATGTTGTAGCTCTTAATCTCAGCTACCGTTCCCAATTTGAATCATGTTGATTGATAAAGTATTCGCGACGCTATGGCTTTCGACGCACTAGGGGGTAAGCTGTAGGAGGAGAACTTAACTCAATCTCAAAGGTTCAATCAAAGTTCAAGAATCTCACAAGGAATTAGAAGGAGCAAGAGAAAGGTTGGGATAGGAAGAGAGGGATGAGAGGGAAGGTCCCAAGAGAGTCCCCAACCAAGGAAAACCCCATAAGCACAAAGATTCCCTCCCTATAGGAACCCCAACTTTGACATTTGTCCCTTCCCAACCAATCCATCCAAGTTGGCCACCCTTGCCAACCTAGCTTGGTTGTTCCCAACCAATTTGCAGCTGTTACAGTAGAGTGACAAGTTTCCCCAACCCCAAAGGTCCCAACTCCATATAAAGTCACCCCACAACTTCACTTAGTAACCGCCGCAATTGTAACGCAAGCTCATGAACTTTGAATCTTCATAGCTTTCGCGTTCTTGCTCCGATTGAAGCGATTCTTGTTGCGTCGGAAAGATCTTCTCAAGATCTATTATCACAAATACCTGCTCAGACAGAATAACACAAAACACATTCCCAAACTCCAGAACACACCACACACAAATGCTTGCACATTCAAACCACACATGCAAGTTGAAAAAACATGGGATGGGAGGCAGACAGAATGTGATAGCATATGATGACATCACACAACAAGTGGCTCCTATGGCGCCCCGTCTACGGCCTGCGGCAGGCTCCCCGTGAGTGGCACGACACGCTGCGTGCTATGCTTGCTGACCTGTAGTTATTTCCATCCTCTGCAGACCCCTCGCTCTTCGTTCGTGCTGGCCAGAACCCATTCTACATCCTTGTTTATATGTATATTTTACCCTTACTGGCCTTGTGGCCTCTCCCAATGGCTGGACTTGTAGTGCCGCCCTGGGCTTGCTCTTGCCTTGTCTGTACTCCTTGTGACTGGTCTTTAGATCCTTGTCTCAGAGGCTGGACTAGTAGTGCCGCCCTGAGCTGCTTCTTCCCTTGTTAGGCACTGCCCCTATATAGCCTAGGGGGTGTGTCAAACATAACTTATGTAGTTACTGTAGACTATATGCGTTTGTGCCTTAGTGGGTACAGCTCACCAATCTATATTGCCTTGTTTTTCCCCATTCTAATCATTATTGATTCTTATAACGGGTCCTTGGATGCTGCCACTGCACTGGATGCTACTAGTGGAGCCACGTACGAGAATGCATGTGAGAAGGCACATGCGGGTAATTTCTCGCAAAGCGAAATAACAACTGTATTCATAATGGTTTGGTTACACAGAATGAAAGTACTAGGAGATGAGATGATGAGGGAATCACTCAAGAGAGCACGAGGGGACAGAACTTGGGTATGCAAAGCGCGTGCATGAGGGGGCACACACGTGTCACACATGGCTCAGCCATTGCTTGAGGTGAACATGGGTGTCCTTATTCACATAGATCGCCTTGCATGCCATGATCACCACCAGCAGCACCTCTCCAAATCTGCCATCAGGAAGCAGGTGAAATAAGAAGTGTCCATAGCTAAACATACAAGAAACTCAACACTGTCTTCTCATATGTTAAGACGTGCTGCGAAACTCGAGTATACACAATCAATGCTCACCTGTGCACATCTGCTGCGGGAGTGGCGTTATGTGACTTGAAGTAGGCGGGGTCCACAAAGCCCGGCGTGCCCATCACTTGAGTGGCCGCCAAGGAGGTGCCCATGGACGTGCTGCCACTCAACTTCACCAGCCCAAAGTCCGCAATCTTGGCCTGCCCAACAGCAAGAATCAATGCAGCCAAAAGTGAGGAGCGGTTTGGTGACAGATAGTCGATGGTATCATGATAGAGTTTGGCAGCGGTGAGCATGCATGCAAAGAGTCACATATCAAGTCCAGGGCGACTTTTGAAGCAGCTCAAAGGGTACCATCACTCTGAACATGCCTGCATCTTTGCATCAAGGAGAATGTTGGCGGGCTTGATGTCGCAGTGCACGATGCCAAAGTCATACAGGTAATGCAGCCCCTTGGCCACCCCAATCAGCACATCCAACCGCTGCCGCAGTGTGAGCGGGGTGGGGACGGCGGGTCCGATCCAGGTCTTGAGGTCGTGGCTCTCCATGAACTCGTACACGAGGATCTGCTCCATGTGCTGCCGCGCCACGTCTATGTCGATGCACTGCCCCAGCAGCCGCACCAGGTGCGGGTGGTGCTTCGACACCATCTCACTCACCTGGGGGGAGGAGGAGCAGGTAAAGGGACGAGACAAGGTATGAGACATCAATCTCTTGCCACTTGAAAAACGAGTGGCAGACGTGAGGCAGATGTGGTGTATGGCATAGTACCTCTCGCTTGAAGTCGTCCGTGAGCACTCAAGCTCGCTTGACTACCCACACTTGGCTGCCATCGTGTGGCGACATGCCCTTGTATACATCCCCAAAGCTGCTGCTGCCAATCCTGATCTCCTCCGCCCAATCCCGTGTCGCACTTGCCACCTCTCCCAGTGAGTACTCCCGGCACACCTGCGGCCGTGCCGTGTCCATCACAACCACCTTACCACCATTCTGCCCGCTCCCCCCCCCCCCCCCCCCCCCCTTGCTGCTGCTGCTGCTACTGCTGCTACTGCTGTTGCCGCCTCTGCAGCTGCTCTTGCTTCTGGGTCCTCTACTTCGGTGTGTGCTTCTGCAAAGGGACGGATGTCAGAGTTGTCCTTGCCTTGCAACATTGTTCCTACTGCCACATCGGCCTCATCCTTGTCTGCAGCACCACCTGCTGCTGCCCTGCCTCCTTCCCTGCGGCCTCTCTTCCATAGCAGCAGCAGCAACAGCAGCAACAGAGATGCCAGCAATGGCTCCCATAGACAGAATGCCCACCCTTCAAAAGTGAAGAGCTCTGCGTGCGTGCGTCCAATGCGGCAAGTTGAAAACCGTCGCAAGCAGGGCGAAGATGCTCCGCTGGGAGGACAACTTCGACTTCCCAACCCACTGCAGTTGCTGCTCGCCCTGCGCTGTCGCCGGCTCGAATTGGGGCTGCACTGTCGGTGTGGACAGGCGAGCGTCACCAGGATGTTCTATTGGGGGGAAGCGCGCGAGGTGACCAATTGTAGAGAGGGGGGTGCGCAAGAGGCTCCCCTGTGAGGGGTGGTGACGGGCAGCTTGGAATGGAAGCACGGTGTGCTTGCTTTGCTTTGCTTTGGCTTGCTTTGCGGGGTGGTGAAGAGCAGCTTGGAATGGAAGCACGGTGTGCTTGCTTTGCTTTCCTTTGCTTTCCTTTGCTTTCCTTTGCTTTGCTATTCTTTCCTTTGCTTTGCTTTGCTCTGCTTTGCTGGTATTATGGGTGGAAACCCAGAGTAGCGCGGAAGTGAATATCGAGTTTTGAAATGACAGATTCACCGATTGTCAGTACAATGAATGACGAGGCTAGATATAGGAACACCAGAGCTCATACTAACCGTATGATGCACTGGTTTAGAAAAGCGTCCGAGGACGCGGAGCGCTTCGGAATGAGGCGGAATGGTTCGGTGTAGCACGTACGGTGACGGAACTAGGGCCTAGCCCGGTGCCGTGTACGTTCGGCGTACCCGCTAGCAGTGCGCCTCAGTAAGGAATTAGAAATTCCTTACAGTTGGAATATGGCTGGATGCGTGGTCCTGGTCTTTTACCCTCGTGAAGCGCAGTCAACCCCTTTCCTTCTCACCAATCTGTCATAGCAAGAGCTTCGTAGGGACTACGACAACTCCTATGACGATAGGGGACTCCTTGCGAAGGTTGTCTGAGCATATACAGGTAATCAGTTCCTAGACTTCCCACACAACGGGGACTTTTTCTACCTGGCAGCAACCCGTGGCAAGCGAAATTTGTCAGCTATCACCAGTGGCTGATGTAAGGAAATTCCCATTTCCTTACTAGGCTCGACTATAGTGCGTGTGCCCTCGACTCTCGGAAGTCCAGGCTCGGCCAACTTCTTCGGTCCCGAACCATTTCGCAAACCCAAACCTAGACGCGCGGCGCTTCCGTGGCTTTCGCCAAACGAACCGCCCCAACCTGTTCGCGTGGTTCTTGGCTAGCTCTTTTCGTGCCTATAAATGCCTAGGCCCTCATTTGTATGCCTAGATGAGCATATTGATCGCTACGTGGGTGGTCTCAAGTCGGAGATTCAGAAAGAGATCGTCCTACGAGCCCCGGCGACATTCAACGAGATTGTTTGCATAGCAGACGCGCTGGACGCACGGTGTGGACTCGTGAGGGCGGGTTTTCGGGAGGGAAATTGCTTTTGAGGCCAGACCCAACACACATCAATCAACGGCGTGGACGTGTTTGCAGCCCGAGTATTTTCGGGGACCTGCTTCCACTGCAACCATCCGGGTCATATGGTGAGGGACTGCCCACAGCTGAAGAAAAACGTAGCTAACAACACGAAGCAGTCAGGAAATGGAGATCGTCAGTAGTAGATGGGCCACCTACTAACTTGACTACGTCGCCCAAATGCCACCACCCCCACCGATTTGGGCTATCGACCATTCCTGGCTGAATAAGGGGGGTGAACCGGTTGATCGCCCTGTGCTGGTGAAGGAAGATTTGGCGACACCCGCATCAAAATATTCGTTGATGGTGGGGTGAGCCACAGTTTGATGGACGTGACGAAGGCGAAAAAATTGCGATTGCAGCTGGAGCACTGCATGCCTGAAATCGACGCGAGATTGGTTGATGGAACACCACTGGCAATTCGGGAGAGAGTGTCTCACGTGCGAGTCACCAGTGGCAAAAATTTCAGCTTCGCGATGAAGATGCTGGCGACAACTTTGGACGGGTGCGACATGCTGCTGGGACGCGATTGGCTATGAGAATACAACACGAGCATCGACTGGTGCACGGGCGATTGTCGCATCGAATGGAGTGGCAAGTGGCGACGACTACCCAAGTGGAGCTGTCAAGATTCGACCACATCGACGGTCAGCGCGGTGACGATCAAGCGAGCCATGATTCGAGGGGCGCAACTTTATGCAGTCCGATGGAACGCATCAACGGCTATCGACACGCCAACCGACATCGACAAACTCTGCGCAGCTGTCGCGGATGACTTGGCAATGGTGACTCGGAAACACGCCGACATTTTTCCAGACGACCTACCGGCGGGTTTGCCACATGAGCGAGAGCATGACCACAAAATCAAGCTAGATCCCGGCGCGCAGCCTACTGTTCAGACTCAATGGCGGCTGACTCGGCCCGAGCTGGATGAACTTCGAAGCCAGTTGGACTGCCTGCTCGAGAAGGGTTTCGTTTGCCCCAGCACCTCATCATTTGCAACTCCGATACTGTTCACCCCGAAGAAAGATGGCGGACAACAAATGTGTATTGACTACCGCGCCTTGAATCGGGTTACCATCAAGTCTCGCTATCCTATTCTACGTGCCGACGAACTCATCAACCAACTTCACGGGGCCAAGCTGTTCTCGAAAATTGACCAGCAAGATGATTACCACCAGATTCGCGTGAACGAAGGTAACTGCTACAAGACACCGTTTTGGAGCCGGTACGGAAGTTACGAGTACACGGTTATGCCATTCGGCTTAACCAACGCGCCTTCGACTTTCTAGTTAACCATGAATGAGGCTTTTTGGCCACTGCTGGATAAGTGCATCATCGTGTACCTCGACGACGTCCTAGTCTACAGCACTACCCGGGAGCAGCATTTGAAGGATTTGAAAGCAGTTTTCTCTCTCTTGCAGCGGCACCGCCTCATCACCAAGGGCTCAAAGTGTGAGTTTCCACAACACGAACTGGAGTTTTTGGGCCACGTGATTTCCATCGATGGAGTTAAAATCGACCCCAAGAAAATTGCGATGATACAAGACTGGAAGCCGCCGGCTAACCTCCGTGAACTTCAGAGTTTTCAGGGGTTTGTGAATCACGTCCGCCGTTTCATTCCAAACATGGTGGGAGTAACTTCCCCTCTCACGGATCTCCTGAAGAAGGGCACATTTTATGAGCGGGGGGAAGAGCACCAGGCTGCGTTCGAAAAGCTGAAACTTTTCCAGACAACACCTTCGGTTCTTCGGATTGCTGATCCTCACCGTCTGTTTGACCTCATCACCGATGCTAGCGATCTGGCCGTTGGCACAGTGCTGTTACAAGACTTCGACAAAGGCCTCCAACCCATCGCCTACGAGTCAGGAAAGCTGAACTCGGCCGAGCGAAATTATCATGTCCACGACAAGGAGTTACTCGCCATCGTTCATGCTTTCAAAGTCTGGCGCTGCTACCTGGCGGGCGTTGACATGACAGTCCGAACAGACCATAAGTCGCTACAGTTCATCCGTGCCCATCCGACACTGAATCCTCGACAAATTCACTAGCTAAACTACCTCGAGTCCAACTTCCACTACGAAGTCACCTACGAACAAGGGGGTTAGCAACATCGCGAACGCATTGACCCGCCCTTTAGTCCATACCACCGCCGTCATAATTACCCAAGCTAATCCGCTGCTAACTGCCCTATTCACCCACGGATACAGTATTTACCCATTCTTCACCACCAACAGTCATCCCCAACTGACGGTCAAACAAGGGGCCTACTACCTAAAATCCGATACCAATCGGATGTGGGTTCCCGCCTACCGTACCCTACGAGAACTACTGATCCAGGAGGCACATGTCTCGAAATTCTCAAGTCACAACGGCATCGATAAAACCGCCAAATTCTGAGCCGTAATTATTAATGGCCCGATGTGCCGACAGACGTGCAGTTGTACGTCACCTCGTGTGCCACGTGTCAGCGCATAAAGTCTCACGGACTTTGACCTGCGGGATTGCTGCAGCCACTCGAGCCACCCAGCCGAGCTTGGCAACAAGTGATAATGGATTTCGTTACTGGCCTACCAGCTGGTCTAAGCGGTAACGATGCGATTCTCGTCGTCGTTGACCGGTTGACCAAGATGGCCCACTTCGCCGCCTGCAAGACGACAACTACTGCCGAGCAGACAGCGAAACTGTTCCTCACGAACATCGTGCGGCTACATGGCATCCCCTCGGCAATCATCAGTGATCGTGACCCACGGTTCACGTCCAACTTCTGGACAAAAACCTCGAAGCTGTACGGTACACGTCTGCATCTTTCCACAGCTTACCACCCGCAAATGGACGGCCAGACTAAGCGCACAAATCAGACAATGGAGCAGCTGATTCGCACGATGCGCATAGACCTGGCCCAATAGGAAGACGCCCTTCCCTTGATCGAGTTTGCGTACAACAACGCCCTATCGGCCACGACTACTCAGTCCCCGTTCTTTCTTGATTACGAGATAGATCCAACAACCCCTCTATCGCCCCCGATAGAAAACCCGACACCAAGATCTCAGCAGTTCGTCAAAAACCTCTGACAGTCTCAGCAAAAATCTGCCAATGCCATCCTAAAAGCCAACCAGAGGGCTAAGCAGCAGCTGACCGACGACGCCGAGACTTAACGCTTGCCCCAGGGCAATTGGTCCTGCTCGACACCAGAAATTTGGGAATTCCCCTCTCAAATAAATTACGACCAATATTTTGTGGCCCATTCAGCATCATCCGCATGGTGACACCAGTCACTGCCCAGCTGCAACTACTGACCGATTGGCGAATCCATGATTCATTCCACGTCAGTCTCCTGCGACCGTTCGTCCTGAGTACGACTAATCTCGAACATCAACACATTACTATTACGGTCAACCTAGTACCCGAGCCAACGATCGAGCTGTCCAAGATTCTCGCTCATTGCGTACAAGGCCATCGAGATACAACAGCCGTCGATTTCCTTGTACGATGGGTTGATCGCATGACTGACGACGATCTTTGGGTCCCCGCAGCTATGCTCGGCAAATACAAAGTAGTCCGGGACTATTTAAACCGACGACGTGTACCGGATGTGGATAGTCTCATCCTGGAAGGGGTGGTGGTGTAAGGATATTCTGTTTTCCTTACTGGGCTCGACTACAGCGCGTACGCCCTCGACTCTTGGAAGTCCAGGCTCGGCCAACTTCGTGTATCCCGAAACACTTCGCGAACCCAAACCTAGACGCGCGGCGCTTCCATAGCTTTCACCAACCGGACCGCCCCAAACTGTTTGCATGGTTTTCGACTAGCTCTGTTCGTGCCTATGAATGCCTAGTGTTAAATAATATCTTTGATATCTAATTGGTAGGCTTGGTAGGTGTTGCTAAAACCTACTGTAGAGGGTGTTAAAGTAAGAACTGAATGGATTACTAGAAGTGGAAACCTAGAACAAATACTAGTTGGTTGTACTCACTAGAAGAAACCTCAGTCTAGCCTATAACTTCTACATAGCTAATATGTATAAGTTGACACACCCCCTAGGCTAGACAAGGGGTGAAGCTAAGAAAGAAGCAAACAGCTCAGGGTGGCACTACTAGTCCAACCACTGAGGCAGGCGTCTGGAGACCAGTCAACAAGAATACAAACAAAACTAAAGTAAGCCAGGGCGCCACTACTAGTCCAGCCACTGGAGGTAAGGCCACAAGGCCAGTCTGACAGGCATATATAATAGAGAGTACACAATCAGGATACTAACAGGTGAGTAGCTACAGGAACAAGACCAAGCTGTACACAGTGCCGCTGATGATCTTTAGGCGCAAGCGCCTTAGTAAAGATATCAGCTGTGTTAGCACCTGAGGCCAATTGAACTACGCGGGCCTGGCGGCTCTGCTGTAGCTCGCGCAGGAGGAAGTACCGCAGCTGGATATGCTTCGCTCAGCCCTCAAGCCGAGGCTCCTGACACAGGAGTATCATGGCCCTGTTGTTAGCATACAGAACCGGGGCAGAGCTAGGCCGCTCACCTAAGTCTGTGAGCAAGAAGGTCAGCCAGCGGAGCTCCTGTGCCGCCATGGCACCGGCGTAGATCTCAGCCTCACAGCTGGACTGAGCAACAGACGACGAGTGAGTGGATCTCCAAGAGATAGCACCCGAACCAAGGCTAAAACAGTAGCCCTGCGACGACCTGAGAGTCTCAGAGTCGTCTGCCCAAGAAGCGTATGTGCGCCCAGTAAGGACCACTGGCTTGCGTCCTCCTAGCACTAACCCCATGCCCGATGTACAAGCAAGATAACGCAAAACCCTCTTAGCGGCAGACCAATGCTGAGGTTGGTGTCTGCCTGTAGCCACAAAACGAGCCAGGATGCTGAGAGGGTATGCGAGATCTGGGCGAGTGCAAGTCATCAGGTACATGAGGCAACCCACCAGCTCTGCGTAGGGGCCACTGGGCTCTACTGGCTCCTGAGGAACGGGAGCGGAGAGCCCATGGTCTACAGGTAGAGGTGTGGGCTGTGCGGAGGAGAATTGAAGACCGAACCTCTGAAGGACCTGACGCACCAAGTGTGACTGTGTCAGAGTGATGGTGCGTGCTGCTCTGTCCCTAGAGATATGCAGGCCAAGATAGCGACGCAGCTCTCCAAGGTCAGTGCAGGTGTGTCTCTTCAGAAGCTCGGCCTTCACAGAGGCCAGTGCGTCCCTATCAGCAGTAGCAAAGACCAGATCGTCTACGTGGACAAGGATGTAGAACGGAGTCTGGCCGGAACGCACAAACTGCGAGGGGTCAGCAGAGGACGGAAAGAACTGCAAGTCCGCTAACATGGCCCGCAGCGTGTCATGCCACTCGCGAGGAGCCTGACGCAGGCCGTAAACCGGGCGCCTGAGAAGCCACTGGGTCCCAGGGGGGAAGGTACCAGTGAAGCCCTGTGGTCGACGCAGGTAGACCTGCTCGTGTAGGCTGCCCTGAAGAAAGGCAGTAGAGAAGTCGAGGGAGTGAAGCTTGTAGTCACGCTTTGCTGCTACGTGTAGCATCGCCCGAAGGGTAGTCATCTTCGGGGTCGGGGCGAAGGTCTGGAAGAAGTCAACCCCCTCTTGTTGACTGAAACCTCTGGCCACGTAGCACGCCTTGAAGACAGGCGGCTCTCCAGGAGGGCGCTTCACCTTGAAGAGCCACCGACCATCGACTACGTTCACCCCAGGCGGGGGAACTGCGTCGACGTAAGTGCCGGTGGACATCCAAGATGCCATCTCCTGCTCCATGGCAGCTATCCAATGAGAGGCCCAAGGTCCCGAGGTGGCCTCAGCGTAGGTGCGAGGGGTCGAGATGTCGAGGGCGCCTGGGTCACCCTCAGGGACTAACAGCACGGAGCAGAGATGGGGAGCAGCCTTGGAAAGGAAAGCAAGCTCGTACTGCCTGTCCTCTATGACGTCACTGCCAAGGGCAGGAGAACCCCCGACGGACAAGGACCCGAGGGACAAGGGGACGAGCAGCACAGAGGTAGTCAGAGAACGGAGGAGGTGCAATAGCAAGGGACAAGGGAGGAGGGGACGGGAGGAGGGGAGGACGAGACGAGCGGGAACGGAGCAACATAGGGTGGGTGGGCAGGACAGGAGAGGCGGGACGAGCACTGGAGGGAAGGAGGAGGAAGACGAACCAGAGACGAGTCCGGCGGTGGGAACACAGGACCATAGACAAGAAGGTCAGTAGGCGGTGGAGGGGACACCGGCGCGCCGTCCGGGGAGGGAAGGCCGAGCAGGCGGAGAGCGGAGACCGGCGGCGACGGCTGCTGCGGCTGCTGCGACAGCTGGGCCGGGACCCTCGGACCGGCAGAGGTAGGACGACCATCGGCGGAACCCTCAACAGCAGCATCCCCAGAACCAACACCCCCAGAGCAAGAACCCCCTCCAACTCCAACGGCACCCCCGGGAGCCACAGGACGAACACCCTCCTCAACGCCAGCACCCCCAGAGGCCAACGGCGGCAGCGACGGCGGCGGCGGTGGCGGTGACTGCGACTGCGACGGCGGCGGCGGGGACGGCGACGGCGACTGCGGCAGGGAAGGCAGAGACACCGGGGAAGGGGGACGCGGCAGGGACGGGCCGGGGGGACCAGGAGAGTCAGCAGACTTGTCAACGGGGACAACCGACGGGAGGGGAGTGACGTGAGACACCAGACGGGGCAAGATGAGGCAAGAGAGGAGCAGGGGCTACCGGGGGAGAGGGAGCCAGGAACAGGGGCGAGGCAACTGGGAGACCTCGGTGAGGGAAGCGGTGGTAGAAGGAGACTGACTCGTCAAAGGTGACGTCACAAGAGTGGAGGAAGCGGTGAGACGGCGGGTGGTAGAAATGCCAGTCAGACGAGTCCAGGGGAAAACCGAGGAAGACACAGGGGACAGTGCGGCCAGTGAGCTTGTCCGTGCCAGAGGCACGAACGTGAGCAAGGCAGCCCCAGACGTGGAACGCAGACGCGTCACCGGGGGACCCTGTCCAAAGGAGGGTCGGCGAAACCTGCGGCCGCTGGGAGCGTGGCCACAGGTTAAGCTGGTGAGCAGCGTAGCGAACAGAGAACGGCCACAGAAAATGGGGGGCATCGGCATGAATCATGGAGGTACGCGCAACCTCCATGACCAAGCCGATGCGGCGCTCAGCAACCCCATTCTGCTGTGGTGAGTCTGGCAAGGTGTACGACTGGGTGATGCCCTCCGCACGACAGAACTGTCCAAGCCGACCAGAGGCGAACTCGCCGCCACGGTCAGAGTGGAGACACAACACGGGGAGACCGCGGTGGAGACGCGCAGCCACAACCCACGGGAGAAGAACGTCGGGCACGTCGGCCTTCCGCTCCAGGGGAAACACCGTGGTATAGCGCTTGTAGTCGTCGACGAGCACAAGGAAGTAGCGCTCACCGCGCGGTCCGGGGACGGGGGCAGGTCCCCAAACGTCCAGGTGCAGGGTCTGAAGGGGGGCAGTAGCAGGGCGCAGCGAGGAGGAGTGAGGAGCACGGCGGAGCCGACCCTCGAGGCAAGGCGTGCACGGTGGCGCAGTCGAGGGAGGAAGGGTAGGGAGCGACGCGGGGAGACCTAAGACAAGACCGTGCTGGGACATGTGACGCAGATGCGGGAGAGCAGGGTGACCTAAGCGGTGGTGCCAGAGAAGGGACGGGTGAGTGAGGGACCGACACGAGCAAGCTGCAGGGACCTGGGAAGACGCACCAACCGGGGGGGAAGCGGTGTCGAGGGTAAACAGACCGGACACCGGGTCCCGGGGGAACGTCGCAAGGGGGGAACCTGAGACAGCCTCAGAATAGACAGCGAACCGCTCGTGCCCGGGGAACGCGGTGGTGACGCCGAGGTCCTGGAGACAGCCGACACCAACCAGGTTCCTCGAGAACGAGGGAACGTGGAGGCCTGTAAGGGAGCCCGAGGGAACTGCTGGACAGGGAAGGGACGTAGAACTGCGAGCAACGACAAGACCCGTAGAGGGGTCAGCGAGAGAGACAACAGCAGGCACAGCAAGCGGCGTGAGCATGGAACGGTCGCGGAAGAAGCAGGCAGAAGCACCAGAGTCGAGAGTGAAGGACAGCGAAGCAGTGGCGGAGGCCGGGGACGGAGCCGATGCAGCGACTAGACTAGGCAAGCTAGGCAGCCCTACGCCTGACGCAGCAGGGGAGGCTAAGCTACACAATGGTGCAACACCTAAACTAGAGTACACAGGGTAATCAGATCCAGCAACACTAGAAGCGTCAGAATACAAAGCATGCAAGGCAGCACCTATCTGATCCATGTCTTACTCAAAGATCGGCACGCCCTGGCGGAGCAGGCTGTGCCAGTCAGGGAGGTCCGGGGCCGGGCCAAAGCGATGACGAAAGAGATCGTCGAGGCGGCGGAAACAGCGGGGGGTCGGGTGCGGACGGCGGCACAGAGTGCTGCGAAGAGGCCCGGTCTGAAGCTGGTACTGGCAGGTGACAGCACCGGAGCCGCCGGTAGACGCCAAGCTGCGCGGGCCGCCACCACAGCCACTACCTCCGGAGGTGCCGGGCCAGCCAGGCGGGAGACGGGCCCACGGCTGCGGCGACTGCTGCTGGGACGGCAGCTGCTGCTGGGGCGGCTGCTGCGGCTGGGGTTGCTCCTGCTGCGGCTGAGGCTGCTGCTCCTGCCCACCAGTGGTAGTCCCCGCAGGCGGACTACCGTCACCACCACCACCTGCGCCACCACCCCTACCTCCCTGACCGCGCCGCGTCTGCCCTCCTTGTACCCCCCTCCTTGTATCCCTCTCTCTTCTATTCTCGATCTCTTTTCTCCTCGTCAACTTCCCCTCCTTGGGATTATATAATTGATAGGTTTGGTAGGTTACTGTATGTTACTGTTGAGGGTACAACACCTCTCCTTGTATCCCTCTCTCTTCTTTTCTAGTTCCCTTTTCTCTCCTCAACTTTCCTAACTCCTACTTAAACCTCTCGCTATTTTCCATGGCTTCCCTCCTACCTAGATCCTAGCTTACCGTATTCTCCTGGGTATAGTATCCTAGGGAGCTAATAAAAATTCATGAAAATTTTGGGGTGGGTAGAATTAAAGGCAAAAAATATATAAGACCATGGTTCTATGGAACGTGCATACGTGTTTTTGAATTCCAAAATAGTTGTGCATGTTACATCACTTTGTTTTGTGTCACATGTCAACACCTCGTGTCCTCATCGCGTACCCTACAGGAACTACTGTAAGAAGCGAAGTTGACGACAACTACTCGGTTTACCCTGCAGTGCGACAACCAAAGTGCAATTCGCATCGCGCATCAGCCTGGTTTCGTCAACAGGACGAAACATATTTCTCTGCGTTACTTTTTCGTCAAGGATATAGTCAAGAAGGGGAGGATGCGATTGGTCTATTGTTCGACCAACGAAATGGCTGCCGATTTTCTCATGAAGAAGCTGACGCGACAGAAGTTTCAATACTGTAACAAGCTTTGCGGGATCTTCAAGACGTGAGACTATCGAGCTTCCATAAATGAAGGGGAGTGTTGTGGTATATTTCATACTTAGCATTTATGTAAGTTGTTTATCGACAGATAGTGTCGAATCTCACTGTAGAAGATAAATCCGTAGGATGACGTCAACAAGTAGCGCTCATCATAGGACAGTCGTTTCAGTTACGCGAACAGTCGCACCTCTTCATTATCATCTAGGGCGCATAGCGCAATAGTGACGAACAGGTACATTAGCGATTAGGTACTTTTCCTAGAGCTATCAAATCTTTGTTCTGTCCTTTTATTATTAACCTTGAGATTTCAACCTTGAGAACTTTGACTTAACTTCTGCAGAAACATATACTCAGGTTCACTTTTACTAGACTTACTAGTCTACCATTCCAGTAAAGATCCTAGGTTAACACGAGGTTTTCCAAGTGTTCGTGTTTGCAGATTCTATACTTAGTCTTCTGCAACACCTGTCGAAAATTTACACCTACAACCACAATCCTGCCATTATATTTGACTTTCAGGCCAGCGCAACTTCTTTTTCCATGTGCAATTGTAGGAGCACCTCCCATCCCATCTTCTAGTTTTAGACCTCGTGTCTAGCAATTGCGTTAGAAGGAACCGACCTACTTGACGCTACCACCACCATTTCGACTTGCCAAGTCCAACACAACCTTCCGATAACGCTGCGTCCAACTCTCTTTTCCTAATCAACCCTGAATAAACACGCACATGCAAGCAGCCATGATCTGACAACATCCAATCAGCTCGTTTCTGGAGGCGCAACTAGCGCCTCCTCTGCTGCTGCCGCCATGAGTTGATCGAACTGCTCTGACTTGGCGAGAAACACCTCCAGCTGCCACAGGGGGAGGGATATGGGAGATCGCAGGTAGCGTAGAAAGGATGGGCTAGAGTGTGAGACCTGTCACAGGAGGAATGTCTAGGAGGCGTATATTAAAGAACTCAACCCTGACCGTACAACTATTACCTGGAGCCCCATGCAGGCTATCACGTCGTCTGTAACCCTCTTCATTCCCCATGGCGCGCTGACTCCTTTCCCCAAGCACAACCCACGGTTCACCCATCTCTCCCTGTCTTATCCCAGCACTCGCATCCACGCACCCTCCCAGCAGCCCCACCTTAGGCTTGAACGCTGAGCGCCCCCCCCTGTCCTCCGACCGCAGGTCCATGGTGCTGCACGCCACCTCTGAAGGGGAGGGGGGTGGGGGGGAGGCAACGGGGGGCGAGTGAGAGGGGAGAGAGAGGGAACGGGGGGAGAGAGAGAGAGTGGAGAAGGGGAGAGAGGTTAGAGGGGAGAGTGAAAGTGAGGGGGGAAGGAGAGGGATGGGGAAAGTGAGCGATGCATTATGTAGATCTAGGTAAGCCTGTGATACAGCTCGCGAATACGAACGCCGTTTAAGCGAATATCTGGCGAAAACTTGCAGCATAACTCCCATTTGACCGAGTATAATGCCCTCACTGAATAGAAGATGTGTTAAGCCGTCGAATTTGAGTCGTGAATGAGTCTTAACTTGAACCCCCTTGAGTTGCATTCCATTGGCGCGTGTTCAGAGATTCCTTCAAACAATTCCCATCCCATATTCCTTCGATTTGGAATGCCCGTTGTATGTGTTGAGGTGGATCAGATCTTATTGATAGGAACACCCACATCATGGAGGATGCCTTACCCTCTACTGCAGGTGCATTGAGAGACGAAGTGTACTCATGTAAACAAGGCTCAAGTACTTAGCCACAAACGCGGCTTCTGAGTATGTCGACTACTTAGTGACACTCGTAAATTTGATTCATCTCCCGAAAATATCGCGTACGAGTACTGCCCTAGTACCGCGGTACTCGTTTTCAGGCATACATCTAGAGCAAGAACATGGGAGGGAAAGGGCGGCAGAGGAGAACGGCTGGAAGCGCATGCAAGGATGCACATGAGACTCACTCTTTTCCACAGCGAAACCGTTGTTCTTGAGTATTTCCGCCACTGTGACCGCTGTGGATATTGCTGCATGGGGGCGCCACGCACACACTCACACATACAGGGGGAGGCGAGCACATGCACGTATACACACACCCACCACCCCAGCCCCCATCCCACACATGGATGAATGCGGGCAAGCATGCACACACACAACGAGCAAACACATCGAAGCATGAGATGACGCAGAAAGACAGGCACGCACACATGAAGAGCATAGCAGGCTGAAAGGTGATCGATAGGAGACTACTGCTCGTGATGATATACATGATTTGATCATACATTGTGCCATTTCACCTGTTGCGCCCATGCATTGCATTGACGGAACCCACTTCATTCAAACACTCTCATCACTCCGCCCCTCTCTCACCTCCCTTGCCACCCCTCCCCGCATTCCCTACAACCCCTTCCCTTCCCCTCCCCCCCTCCCCTCTCCCCTCTCCTCATTTTCAACTTTGCAGCATCCCTGCTTCTCGCAATCATCGTTCATCTCCCTCCCTCACCCTACCAACTGCATTTCCCCCACCCACCTGCATGTCCCCACCTGTACTCCCCCCTCCCCACCCTTCCCCCCCCCTCCCCCCCCTCGCTTACACAGGCCCAGCGCCGACAGCTCCACCTCCTCGAACTGCTGCAGCAACCGCTGGTGGGCGGAGCACGGAGGACGGCGGGAAGGAGGGGGCGGGGAAGGGAGAAGCCGGAAGGGGGGTGGGGGGGAGGGGGGCCGGGGGGGAGGGGAGTGATTGAGTGGAGGGGTTGGGTTGAGTTGCCGGGAAGAGCAGGAGGGTGGTCAAAAGGGAGGAGAAGCCTTGAAGGGACGGGGGGAGGGATAAGTGATACAGTCTAGAAGGCGAAATGGAGAGAGGGGAGATTGCGATTATGGGTAGGGCTTAGACGAAGCACAAATGAGATTATGGGCATGGGTTCGCCATGGCAGCCCGTCGGCACGCCAGCAACCCCAGCAAATTCTCTCTCACCCGAGTTTCTCATTCACCCGAATCTCTCACTCGAATGCCTGTCATGCAACTCCTCTTGCACTCGTTCGCACACACACACCTCCCTCCTCCCATCCCTCCTCCCTCCTCTCATCCCTCCTCCCTCCTCTCATCCCTCCCGCCTCGCTCACTTTCACATCACTGCGTCCGCGCCTACTGGCCGCAGCTAAGCCTGAACACCGACCCATTGCACCTTTTCTCTTCTCACCCTCGCAAATCCCCCCTGGCTCCCCCCTAGGCCCCCCCAACCATCTTCCTGATTCCCCCCGCTTCCCCCCTGCTCCCCCGCAGCACACAGCCTCACTCTCCCAACGCCCATCCACTCCCCCGCTCAGGCACAAGGCCTCGTTACAATCCCCAAACACGCGCCATGCTACCGCGGCGTATATCGGGGCACCTTGGAGAGGTTCACGTAGAAGTAGAGCGGCCGCTTCGTGCCCGACACCTGGATGCGGTTGCGCCGCCCCGCCCCGGCCCCCGCTCCTGCGCCTCCGCCTCCGCCCTGCGCTTCTGCGCCGCCCGCGCCGTCCGCGAGCGACAGGTTGGCGGTGGCCTCACGCACGCCGTCCATGGGAGCTCGCTCGCAGACACTCGCAGACACTCGCACACGCTCGCACACACTCGCACGGGGTTGCACGGGCTCGCACAGTCTCTCTCGCAACTGCGCTCTACAGATTTAGTCGCTTTCCGCTCGGTGATTAGCGGGATTGGAATCCCAACGCGTAAGGTGTCCGCTCGCCGAGGAGAAGGGAGAATTTGTGGGAGGACGAGGAAGAGAGAAATGCGAAGAT